GGGACCTAGGGAAAAGAAAAGAGCTGAAATGGCTCTAAATTCTGGCCCGCAGAAGTATCACCAGCTATTTCTGGTGGTTACTTTCTTCAGATAGGGTAATCTAATCTGTCTGGAGGCTATGGACTTCTTCTAGTCGTCTATTCCCTTCACTCTGTAATAGGTAGCATCTCACTTCATCCAGAGACATTGTCACAGGCCTGGCTTCTGTGAAATAGCATCTGGAGATACCCTGCTTTTCTCAGCAGTTTGTGAGGAAAACCATTCTTTCCTGTCTTGCAAAAAATTGTAGATTTTGCATCTTTTCCCCTATTCTGCAATGAAACCGTTCTTTGGCTGGACAAAAAAACCCCAAACCCTAGAGCTGAACAAAACCTGGCCAGCTGGAGCCATTTACTCCACACCAGCAGATAGATAGACACCTGTCTGGGACCAACTGGAAATGGGAAAGATTTGGGGTTGAACACTGGGGAGTGCTTGCCTTCGGTCTCACAACCCCTTCTTTCCAAGCCCTTGTGACTAGAGAGGCTGCCAGCACCAAGACAGGCCTATTACCAAGACAGGTCCTCTTAGAACTGTAATTTAGGGATATTTGTAATGCTTCTGGGCTAATTTTTCATGCTCATGCACAGATGGACCTTTTCCAGGAGTTCCCTCTTGGTTGTTGTTTTTTATGCAGGATATTCAGGTTTTGGTTGTTACCATAACGTTGAAATTTCTTTCTTTTTCCAGGAAAACTTCACCTGACCATGGCCCAGGGGATGCTGGAGGAACTGAAGCCAGAGTTAGGCTGCAGGAAGAACACGCCTCTGGCTCTTTGAACGGCAAGTTGGTCAACCAAGAGGATAAAATTGCACCAGATTGGTGTAAAGGTTATCACTGAATCATCATCCTCTACTCCGTCTTGAGTGGGGAAAGAATGAATGACATGAAAATGCTCGGAAAATGCGGAAAATTGCTTAAAAAGAGAGATAAGAACTTCCTGTGGGCTTCGATCTTCTTTTTTGCATTAATTTTTCCCTGTCCCCTGCCTCCCGTGCCCTTGTGCCCACACACGTGTGCCCACGCACACGCTTGTGAGTGCTTTAATTCACAGTGCCAGCCCCGTCCCTCAGTGAGCAGCAAAGAGATCACCGTCTTCACTGGAAGGGGAAGGAAGGGAAAAATTGTGTTGGTTTGGGTTTGGTGGTGTCTGATAGGGGTTTATGTGCTTTTGCAGTGGAGGTGGCCTGTGGCCAAGCACTGTACCTTTTTAAGTAGCAATACCCAGGCTTGTATCTCCATATAAAGCCTATTACACTAAATCTATTCCCAGATTCATTCTTCCCAGATGTTCCCATCTTTTGAGTAATATATCATCACAGTGAAGTACTCTTATAATGTATTACACTAATACATTGTTCGAAGGACACCAGTGATGATAAATTTCTTAAATGATGGTGCTGTCTAGGGATAATGACTCTAAGAGCAAATGCAAGGTAATATAGTGATTTTTTTTTTTTTCAACCGGGTTCCAGAAAGAATATGGAGACATCTTAAAGCCATTTTCATATGGGGGGAATGTTAAAATATGCAATATTTCAAGCACTATTTAACAAGCACTTGAACAATAGCAGCATTGATGATAAAGGTTCTACATTTAAAACTAGTCCCTTTATTCTGTTGTCTTTTAGCTGCATTTTAGATGAAATTTTGTCAGATTCTGTTGTTAAACCCTTATTTGAAAGTGTTTTTTAAGATTAGATTTTTTTTTTAATGATCACTTAAAAGGTACATCTAATTTTCATTGTGAACAGGCTGCAGTCTTTTGTATAGTTTTATTTTTAAATTTTCATTCTTGTCTTTCAACAGGCCAAATTTTTAGGATGTTTGTTCATATGACCAGAGCCAGGAAGATTTTATTAATTGGCAAGCTTAAAGGTTACAGTATCCTTGCTATCGCAGAAGAATTGCCAGATGATGGCAAAATCTTTGCATGTGCAGAAGCGCCGTATCTCGGAGTGAACAGCCAAGAAGCATTTGATTATTCTTCAGATGGTAAAAAGATAAGCATGCGAGTGGGACCAATGGCAGACACTTTGGAGGTAAAGTCAGTTGGAAGGGGAGTTTGGGAGCTCTTGTGCAGAGCAGAGTGAAGAGTTTTGGGCAGGTCCTATTTCCTGCCCACAAAATGCTGGATGGCGACCCTAGTTTGCTTGCAAATATGTGAACACACTCTTGCACTGAAGTCATTTCTTATTCATGACAATGTATGATGGGACAGCTCTGTCACACAAGATAGGTTTTTTCCCCGTTTAACTAGAATAGTGCAGCTTTTGGTCAGAGGAATCACAAGCTCTAAATGTAGGTCGATAGGCTTCAACAGCAGAGTTTTACTTGACATGGGTGGGCTTTGTTTCAGGGTCTCTAATTCCAAATATAACAAGCTGGAAGAGTGTGTCTGTGCCCTGCTGAGCCAGCTCTTGAGAAGGACAGCTTGCTCCCAATGTTCACAAGAATTGGGAAAGTCCTGAGGAAGTTTCTAATTCAACCACAACCTCTCACTATTTTCTCCCACTGAAAACATTGCAGGCAGTTAGACCCCAAGTTTCTCACTTCCAGAGCAACGTGATAAGCTTCAGACAAGCAAATGCATTAGCTGTATTTGTTTCGTTCTGACTAGTGACTTTGTCCCAAGAAAGAGAAAAGCTTATGATTGCCAGCAGCTAGAAGAGTCTCACGTTTAATTCTAGTTTATGGATCTCCAGGACGTTGCTGCGGGTCCAGCATGCCAGCAGGTGATGCCCATGCCAAGTTCATTAAGTTTACAGCCTTCCTATTATTAATGCAAACCAATTTGATCTGATTCCTTTTTCAATCTGGATGTGTCAGTGTGAGCTTGATTGTAACTTTATTTGCATTAACAGGTACCATATTTGTTTCTAAAATGAAATGGCTGGGAGCTTTCTGACCTCTGGCTTTCATGACCTCCAAGTCTGATAAGAAAGAAACAAGGAGCTTTGCCAAGTATGTGAATAAACGAAACGTTACAGATCACCTGCAATGTGCAGCATTTAAAATCCCAGCTCCCTGCAGTGAGTGTGAAATTAATTGAATTGCTGTTGCTCTCTAGTGCCCATTCTGTGCAACTGACTTACTGTGACTGAATTAAAATATCTAGAGGCAGGCAGAGTACATGCTGTGTTGAGATTAAAGAAGGGAGCAAAGACATGAAAATTAAATCCTTAAAACAGAATGTTGCAATTGAATTTATATCCTCCGATTGCAATGTGAAGGCACGTCCTGACCTCAGTTCTGCAGGTACTCAGGGCATCAAATAGCTCTTGGAGCTGATGGGAGCAGACGTGCTCGTGTTTGGCAGGAGAGATCCCAGCACTGGGGACACCTCTCTATGCAGGATTTCTGTACCATGCTCTGAACTTTTGTTGCTCAACCTGGCAGATATTTTGTCATTGGTATCAGGACAATCAGGATTGTCCTACAGGTCTTAATCCGCAATGGCTGTAAATGATGAAGCAACACATTTGGTGGCTTCTCTGGTGCCTTTACATTTTGGGCTCATTGAGGTTTGCCCGACTGGAGTGGGGCAGCCGTGTGGGAACAGCCCCAGATGCATGGAAGAGGCTCAGGCTGTGAACAGAGTGCTGCCTTTTCCCTCCTAGAGAAGACCAGTTTAGTTTGGAGACCAAGAAGGCTTCCTCCACTGCCACGTGGCCATGCTGAAAGGCAGGAGGACGAGGCAGTCACAGGGAGGAGATGGGCTGGGGATGGCACAGCCGAGTTCTCACAGCTCAGCTTCGTGGAGGAGGTGGAGAACAACAGTGTTTCTGTCCCTCATCGTCTGCAAGGAGGCTGGTCTAGAGCAGAGCTGGCTAACAGTTGTTGAAAAGCGTGGTGAGATTCAGGAGAGCTGGAACAAGCTCTGGCAAGGATTGTCTTTGTTGTCTATGGTGTCTGCAGCCCTAGGTTTCATCCTTGTCCCTCTAGAGAAATTAGAGGGCAGAGATGGTCACTCACCATTTGCTCTTTGGAGGCATCTGCTGCAGTTTTCTTGCTGTGGTGACTATGACTGAATTTTGCTTCCAAGCTGGTGCAACAAGGCAGGATTTCTGCTTATCTGTTGCTCCTCAAATTTTTGCAGCAGTGCAAGCTCCCGGGAGCAGAGGATTTGCCTTGCTGCACTGGCTTTTTCGAAGCACAAAAATGTCATATGATGTATAAATAACACTACCTGGCAGGGAAGTCCTTTTCTGCTGCATGAAGCTATGATTCAGAAAGTCCAAACTGCCAGAAGCTATATGACGTACTCTCACTTCTGATGTCAAACTAGTCCACCCAAGAGTTACATCCTAGCCTCGGACAGAGGGTACCATTGAATTGCTGCAGGATGTGGCCAGTGCTGCATCCACACCTGCCATCAATGCCCTTTAGAAGGAAAGCTGCCAGATGTTGCAGCAGTTCCCACAAGGATGTGACACATCTGTGGCCATCCACCTCAGACAGCAGGCCCTTTGTGGGACCCACATGGCTCTGGCTATTCCACCTACAACTGCGGCTCATCAGGGCTGTGAGCGAGCGGAGAGCAGTGCAAAGGCAGCAAATCAGTCCGTAGTGGCACCCTGACCAGGGTTTCCGAAGCCTCTTACTGCTCCTTTGCATTAATGCACAGCGTTGGTGGGGATGGCCAGGTTCCCTGTCTCTTGTCCCAGATCAAAGCCAGCTGCAAAACATCTGGGATTTTGAGCTGTCAAAGGATGCTAAATACCAGACAGGAGCTGCAGAGCTCAGGTACACAGTGGGGTTCATTTGGTACCTGAGGGCATGATGGAAAAAAAATCCACCTTTCCCATGTGTGAAGGACAGGCTGCCAGGCTAGGTTAGGTCCCCACCACAGCATACAGCTCACATACACCATGGCACAAGCCTCTGTGACCAATGACCCCAGTAATTTTTACATAATATTTTGAAATGCGGACTGAGGGGAAGCCTTGCCTTGAGTTCAGTCTTTGATACAGGTGCTTTCAGTGGGAATTAGCTACCTTTTCAACATGCGCTGGGCCAGCATTTAAAAACCTTTCCCAAGAAGCTCCTTAAGCCTAAACTCTGTCGTGCTGTGCCCGAATAACATGCCTTGCCATGCATCAGCTGTGAGCAGGAGGCCTGATCCTGCACAAAGAGCTTCCTTTAATTCCCCGTGGACTTTTGGTTGAACAAAGGATGTAGGATTGAGTCTGGAGGTAATGCAAACTACCAGGAAATTATTCCCATCCATGATTTTGATACTTCCATTTTAAAATTGAAAACGCAACACAAAAAATAACACTGTGTTTGCAGCAGATTCTGCTGATTGCAGGGCATTGTATAAGCATGTCAGGGTTTTCTTTTTTCTTTTTTCCCTCCTTTTACCAGACAGAATAGGTGAAGAGGTTGAGCTGCAGATCTCATTTCTCCTGTTTTGCTGCTTGTGAAGTCTGCCAACAGAATCCACCTTGACAAAGTCAAGGACTCTGCGTTTAATGTTGAACTGAGTGAATAAATTATGCATGAAATTGTGTCGGAGTCTCTAGTGTGCAGAATTGCTCCTTTTGATATGAAAGGTTAATTCAGAAAGGAGTCCAAAATAGCTGGAAATTGTGGGGATAAGTGGATAGTATTCACTGTTGTGAGCTGTTATTACTAGAAATTGCATTCCCTCTCTAGCTTCCCTAGAGATTTAGCTTTGCCGGTGAATATAAACTGTACTCAATAGAATAGCATTTAGGAGTAACAAGAGTGTATGTCCACATACAGTAAAATATTCTAATGGTGTTTTAAAAGGAAGCTGTACTTTTTCATGTATTCTATGTACCCTAAGGAAGGATTGCTATTACATTTAGGTCAAGAACAAGGCATAGGGAAGGTAATAAGTTTTGAGTACATCTTTATTACAAATATGCTGACTGTATGATCCATATCAAAGGAACTGGACAGTCATTTTTTTCTGATTGAATTTGTATGTGCCTTATGAGAGAGTGTTGTCTCTGATCAGGACTCCAATCAGGTTTTCTCTCAGCTTTGGCAGAAGATTAATTCATGTTTTTACTTGGGATGTCCTCTCCCTGATCTTTTGCCGTATTTGTCAATAGTACTGCTGTCCCCTTTCTCGTGCTCGCTTTTGATGCCTCTCCTCTATGCAATGCAGTGCTACAAGTTTCTTTTCTTTTTTAATCCCAAAGGAAGTTAATGACTCACTGTAAGCAAAAGCATTAATTTTAGCCAAGTTTGCTCTGAATTAAGACACTTCTTGTTGCCATCTGTTACCGTCTATGATGCCTCTGTAGCAAGGAGCAGGGATTGCACTGTAAACATTCAGGAAATTAGTTTCAGTGGGATATTTTGCAGGCAGACTATTTCCTTCTGGATCTCAGCTTTCCTCACAGTTGGAGGTGTTTGGGGTCTGCCTCTCTCCTAGCAAAGGAGAAAGGCATCTCCAATGCGCCAGGCCCAGTCTGCTCTGGGAGAAGAAGGGTAGTCAATCCCTCCTCTTAAACCCTGCATCCATTTTGAGAGGGGCAGCAGTAAGCTTTCCTCTTCTCTCCATCACTGCACTGATATTTCCAGTGCTTAGCTGCACAGTCACAGCTACCAGTAGGGCAGCTTTTTCCTTTTGGCTCTCTTGGTTCAGCA